CCAATAGTAAACAAGCAAACAAAAACAAAAAGACAACCCATCTACTCTAACATTATTATAGCTGGACTATCGTGTACTGTATGTTTTAAAAACATAGCTTACCTGTCAGCGAGAGTTCCGTTTAGAGAAAGTCTTCGCAAAGAACGGGCTAGGGAGTCGTACATCATACATGTATTTATTTATAATGCATAAACATCAATAGTGGACACGTCTTACTTAGCGCCCATAAGCCTTCCACTTCCAACTCCTGGAAATCACCACAGCGGCACTAAACTGGAAATGACTACAAAGTACCGTCATGCCTTAAAGACCCTTTGTACTAGTAGAGTAGCTGGACAGCGAGTTTTGAGGTACGGCAGTTCTAGATCTCGTCTTTCATTGTACAGCTAAACCTTACTTTTCAACAATGTCCAGCTAAGCAGATCTAGGTCTCCTTTGGCCGGGATTTGGCTCAGCGCCTAAGGGGTCGCCATGGTTGGGTAGAGTTGCCTAATCTGTTTTTGTCTTGTTAGTATTGGACAAGAAGAAGTAGTACAGATTATTATACATTATTCTTTTTTAAACTGGAAAACCAAGTATATGCAAATCTGGGAAAAACCATCTTTAAAAAAAAAGACTTCAGTTAAATTAAATGGGCACATCTTTCTATCTTCATTTGGAACTGATATTATTTTTATTCAACGATATTATTATTTAAATACAAACATTACTGATAGTGATAGAAAGTCACAATTTAAACAGTGCATGTAATTGTCCTCTTTCCAGTTTGTGACAATGCTTGATTTGTTTCAGATACTTGGTTTTCAATTCAAACGGCAGTATAATATTATGTAGTTTTAAAACTGCATACTTGACACAGTTTGGTACGGGATTTATTATCTACCGTCAAGCAGCCATTGAGACAAAACTTTTCTTTTACTTTCTTGAGATGAGATCTACGACACTTCAGAGGGATAGTTATCTTGTTTGATATACCTGATGGTAAATGACCAAGGTTCGGCCGAGTTCTGACTATCTACGTTATATAATATACACAGCCTCTTGGAGCTGTGATCAGAAAGCTCAATATGAATTATCACATGTACGCAGACGATACACAATTATATAAGTCTGTTCCACCATCAGATGTTAAAACCTTGCTTACCATCATGGGTCTGTGTATTGATGATGTAAAAAAAAGTGGATGATTGATAATAAGCTCCAGCTTAATGAAAATAAAACTGAAATTCTTTAAAGTAACCCAAAGAAAAGCCATATCCCAATAGACATTGATCATATTTGTACTGAAAATGAAACACTATATTTTACTGATAAAGGAAAACATCTGGGAGTGTATTTTGATTAAAAATTGTCAATGGAACATCATATCAATTATTTATTATGTATCATTTTATTTTGTGAATTGCGTAGAACTGGTCATATGTCTATGTTTTTGAATGAACACTTGTTGAAAACGAACGTGTCATCTTTCTTGTTTTCACACACCGATTATTACAAAGCTTTACTAGCTAACATACAAAATACCACTCTTCACAAGTTACAATGTTTTCAAAACCAAGCTTCTAGGCTTGTACTAAAGAAAAAGAATGTCATAAAATTGCAATATTTATTATTATGTCATAAATGTGTAAATAACAAAGCTCCCTCGTATCTTAGTGATCTCATCCAGATTTATGGTCTATCTAGATCACTAAGATTGGGCGATCAGTATCTTTTAAGAGTTCCTAGAAAAGGAGGTAACATACAACATCTGAGTCTAAATTTTAAAAATCTTTAAAGACACATTTAATGACATCATTTTTTTGTGAGTAGATTCATGTTCAGCATAATGTAAATGTAAATGTCTTTGTTTCCATTTATGTATTTTGCGAATTGCATTGTGTACATTATTTTATTAAGTATGAGTATGTGCTCATTTCGGAACGATGTGTAAGCGTGCGCGTGTGATAAGTAAGTAGATGTGTGTGTGTGTGTGTGTGTGTGTGTTTGTGTGCGTTCGTGCGTGTGTGTGTGTCTTTATGTTTGTGTGCATGTGTGTGTGCACACGTGTGCGCACGCGCGTGTGTGTATGTGTGTGTGTGTGTGTGCGTGCGCGCGCGTTTGTGTGTGTGTTAGTGTGAGTGTGTATGAGTGTGTTTTGTTATAGTAGAGGGTTTTACGGCGCTCGCAATTGCATAAGGTCATATGAGCGCCAAGGGGTGGATGTCAATAGAGAAGTCTTTACATGGAATCAGACTTAGACTGCTCACCTCTCCAGCTTAAACAGCACAAGGTCTGCTTCGACTGTCAAGGCACCCCAAAATAGTAGGTCACAAGAGAGTGACAAACATACCAAAAAAGTAGAGGAAAATGACAATAGTAAGGATCCGGAAAGAAAAGGCAGCAGTTCCCTGTTATAGATCAGGCACAGTTATGAGCGTGACATGAGTCAGCCCATTTACAATTCTACTATGCTTGAACAAGAAATGTCCCCCATTTGGGAATGGCATAAAGACACTTCAGTCAGTGGCACTGCCTCGGTGGGAAGTGTGTGTGTGTGTGTGTGTGTGTGTGTGTGTGTGTGTGTGTGTGTGTGTGTGTGTGTGTGTGTGTGTGTGTGTGTGCGCCCGCGCGCGCGTGTCGCGTGCGTGAATATTGTTCGTACATGCATTTATGTAAAGCGCCTAGAGCTGTGTTTACACGAGAGTGGGCGCTCTAGAAATGATCTTCATTATCATTACATGTATTATCTTAATTTGGCTTTTTATTTAATTGGTGTCCAAACCAAGATGATAAAAAGTAGGTCTATAATATTAATTGCCGTATTATTTTGTTACGGTATCTAAGAGCACATTGTACTTTTCGTACTAAGAAACTAAACATTCCACGACTGAGTTAAATGTAGCCTACTGCTCAATGCTTCGAGTACATGTATTATACGATAGTTTATAGTTTGGTTTGAGAAGAGAGAGAGGCACATAATAGTCATCCATATGACAAAACTTAAAAGCCAGTTCACCGAATCTTGTGAAAAAGCAGGATAGAAAGAAAAAAAAATTATCATCAGAGGGAGGGGGGAAAAGTGTAGATCCAGATCTAGTGGTGTCCTACGACTACCACGTAACTATGTCCTTGAGCCCTTAGTTACTTTAGTACAAAAAGTAACATGTTCTCTTATATACCGTTCAATAGTAGACATAATATATGTCAATTATTATTATAGTCCTAGTGTTCTTCTCTAGCTTTCAAAATTAGACATCTATTGTTAAAGGTTTGTTTGCATGCCCCTATTTCTACAAGTTGAGCAGATCTAGATTTCTTACATGTACAAACCTGCTCTAAGGGGTGTATTACACGTTCAGTTAAAACTGACAGTCGTCCGTCCTCTTTGTGATAAGAAAATGATAGCCTAAAAGGTGGGATCTCAACAAAAATACATGTATAATTTTTTGATCTTCAAAATCCAGCAAGAAAAAGAGTAATCCGCGAATCATTTTGAATTTTTTAAAATATGCTGGTTCCGAATTTGATATCATTTTTACGTTCAGACGAACAGTAGTTTTCATTAAGTTTACAAATGAGAATTTAATCAACAGCGGGTTTGCAGACACGACAGACTGTCAGATCGGTCGGCCGCTACAAACTTCAGGCATACCTTGATTTTTGTGCGTCCGGCCTTATGGCTGTCTGTTTTAGAGCCTTTTACGGGGTGCCTATCGGGAATGAGATCGGGTCGGTCGAGTCGGGTCGGGTCGGGGGAAATGGCCTCACTCGTCACATGAAAACAAAATGCGTTTGTTTTTGAGTCGACTAGTCGGGCGCGATCGGCTTATGCCACGATAGCCGCTTTGCACCCTCAATCTGGCTTGCAAACCGCCCCGGCCAGACCCGATCACTCAATGGGCACCCCGTATTTAGATACATGGTCACATTCCACTAAAAATTATTTTGTACATAATGATGTTAACGAGCCATTTATAGTAGTCTATGAAAACAGAACTAAACTGATATCACACCAATACGCTGTCCCAAGCAGATCAAGTACGGAGATAAACCGAAAGAATAGGCCAGCAATGCACTTAACACACACACACACACACACACACACACACACACACACACACACACACACACACACACACACACACACACACACTGAATAAAGTAAATAAGGTTTTGGGGGCCAGGTAAGCTTGCAGTTGGAAGTAAGCGGTGAACAAAACACCAAACAGAGCCATGTGTGACTCAATATTGAAGTTGCAATAAAGATTTAATTAGAGCCACCATACCAGCACATGTCCGTGTTGACTAATAGTGACTAGAGATGGGTTTAAAGATAACTATTATTGCTGAAATATGGGATGTAGGCCTACTGTTCAAGACAGTCTTGACAGCAACAGGAGAGCCAAAGTGAAAAGAAAAATGATCTTTAGTTTTTTGCAACTGCATTAGGTCATATGAGGGCCAAAAGTGATCTTTGTGAGGGCTCTTTCCATTTTGTGGACAATAACTGCTCAATTCGCCGAGTTAGGTGACGTCACCACTGAGCCCGCGTTACAAAGTCGCGCATCGTGACAGCAACTACAATGTACATGTATTGACAACAAAGCTGTGAGCCAGCGAGATAAACTGAGATGTAGGTACGAGTTTATGTGGTGCGACAACACATCTATAAGTCCTAATTGTCTCTTTGAGTGTATTGTTAGATATATTGTAAAGCACATTTTAATGGGTAGTAGTCTCTTAGAGTATAGCTTAATTAGAGGGTGTCGGTACCAGGCTCTCAAACAACAGTCAAACAATACTGTCACCATGCGTGGTAACAACGATCTTTGGTGGTACCGTAATGAAAATTAAGTGGTAATCAGATTCCCGTGGAAAAAGAAAATTAATTTTTTTTAAAACTACCCAAACGGAAAAACAACCCCACCAAAAAAACAAAAAACAAACAAACAACAAACATTAAACAAACAAAAAACAACAACAACCCCAAAACCCCAAACAAAAAAAATAAATAAAACGCATGTAGCGCTCTTTATCTCGTCGGGTCGTGGTGCCGGCTAATGATGGGATCGGGTCGGGTCCGGTCGATCGCTCGACTCGTCATTTGAAAACAAACCCGTTTGTTTTTGAGGTGACGAGTCGGGTGGTCAGTTTGCGCCTCGATAGTCGTGTTGCGCCCTCAATCTGGCTAGCAAACCGACCTGACCCGACCCGACCCGATCTTGCCAATGGGCAAGGCACAAACCGAACGAAACCGACGATGGCCTTCAAGAACAAGCGCGTTTGTTTTCAAGGCCGGGTGATCGGTTCGAGTCAGGGGTTTATTATTTATAGTGTGCACTGAAGCCGCAAGAAACCGAACCAAGCCGATCCTCCAATGGGCACCGCACATTAGGCCTTCTCTGAGGCCACGTCTCCTTTAAACTTAGGCTAGACATCTTACTACATGTACTAATGGAGCTAAGGCCAAATTTTGCGAACAGTATAATTTTATTCTAAAAAACTACAGAATTAAAAAATATGAAATTTTGCCAGTACTCATAACTTCAAACGTAATGTTGCACTATTGTATTTTCTTTAAGATCAAATGTGTAAGAAGAAAGCCCAGTTTAAGTTAAAGTCAGTACTTTTGTAGCGATCGCCATCATTTGCTTCGACATTGTATATTCACTGCGGAGTGCCAACTGTGCCAAAGGGTATTTTGTGTTCAGTTGTACATAAAGTAGGTTTACGGGAAGTTCCGGTTTCGGTCTCAAGCCTTTAGAAGGAGGAGGAAGAGGAGGAGGAGGAGGTGTAGGTGTGGATGGAGGAGAAGAAGAAGAAGAAGAAGAAGAAGA